GGTCGACGCTTGTCACCGAGACGGGGTCGTTTGTGGTGCTCGAGGATATATGTGCCCGAGGAACCCGAAACGTTGTCCTGCGTATCCGGCGAGTGGGGAGTCTAATGGTTTATAGGACTTGAAGGGATGGAGTGTCACGCATGCATCAAGCCAAGCGTCGTAGTTAATGCGTAATGATGGCTATGCTAGGGTTATAATGATGCCCCTACATCTTCCTAGGCACGCGCTTGCTCGTGCTTTTGACTCGTCTATAAATACAGCGAGGAAGCATTCATTTTTACTTTTCTCTTTTCTCTCTTCTTCGTCTTCGCTCTTTGCTTCTTCTGTTGTCACCGTCGTTCTCCATCGTCCACCGCCGCAACATAGTCGTACGAGCACCGACTAAGCTTCTCCGACCACAGTTTCTTTCTCTTCGTCCACATAAGTTTCTAATCATTTTTTGTTTTACGCAAGCTTTAGTCTCATTTTACTTAGATTTGCATACGGTTAGGACGAAAAACTGGGTAAAGTAGGTGCATTCCGGCGGATGTTGGTGTTTGGCAGTGGTTGAGCCATAGGTGCATTTCGTCATCGAAGTGTTAGAAACTTAGGTTTTTCTGTTGATTCCGGCGCTGTTGAAACGACGAATGAGTTTGTCTCCGGTGGAGCTTATCAAGTTTTCGATGTACTTATGAGTTTTCTGGTGGATCTTCAACGAAATTCTGGGTAAAGTGTCAGGGAGGATCTACCTGTGAGGGTTTAATGGATTTCCATGTGTAATCTCCTCGCACCTTTGTTGCGCTATTTGAGTAAGGGCTTAGGTTAAGGATGTTGTCCTCGGGCCTTTGCGTTCCCTTTCACTTGACTAGCGGTGGAAGGGTGGATTTGATTTTGTCATCGAATTCACTTTTGTCCTCTATTCAAGTAAAGGAGATGTCTAGAAATACCAAGGATGACGTTATGCTCGAGCAGGATCTGTCCGATGAGAGCACTTTAGAGGATAACAGATCCGAGGAAACCGCTCCCGGGAGTCTCGGGGAGGAATGGATTTCCCCCGAGCCTTGGGAGCATGCCTCACTCTTTGCCTTCTATACTCAGGATGCCTTCACAATGGTGGGGGACGAGGAAGATTGGAAGGTCCACTTTCCCGGGGAGGATGATCAGATACGCTCGGCTTACGACGTTGCGCATTTTCCCATGTATGAGTATGTTTTTAAGGAGATGGGGCTGAGGCTGCCCTTTATAGATCTTCAGGTGGCAGTTTTCAGTCATCTGGACTAAGCGCCCTCTCAGTTCCATCCAAACTCGATTGCCTTTATTTGAGCATTCGAGATTACCTGCGAATACTTAGGGATCGGAGCCACTCCCCCTCTTTTTCACTATCTTCCACCTCTAACATCAAGTTTTGCAAGGGAAGTTTGGATGAGTTTTCCTGAAGCAGGGGAGGAAGTTGTTCAAAGCCTTTTTAGAGTCCATCAGGACGTTCAAGGAAAGGTACTACGTAGTGGAGCCAGTGTCGGAGAGGGCCAAAGATTCTTCATTTCTCTAGGAGATCTTTACAGATGATAATGGGTAGTCCCTTTGCAATGAGCAAGGCAGAATGTGAGGGCATCAAGCGTAGAAATTTTGTTTTGCCCAGAGCGAGGACCACTTCACCAGGGAAACTGACGAGTATATTGCCAGGCCGACCATGTTGGAGGATGATGACCTGGCCAACTATAACAAGCTGATAGCCTTTGTTGATAGTTTCCTCCCTGCCTAGTGTGTGACCAAGGGCGAGGATATTATTCTTAAAGATGACGGGGGGCCCATGGTAGAGGCCCGATATATTAACACCAAGGAGCACCTCGACTGCGGCACACGCAGCAATGCTCTAGAACTTTTGAGTAGCCATTTTTCTTTTTAGCTTGTACCGTTTTGTTGTTTTTTGTTTACTAACATGTGTTCATTGTTTTGCAGACAAGATGTCCACGGCTTAAGAACACTTGGTAAAAACTGCGGTGACCAAGGTCAAGCAAGAGAGAAAACTTGGCAAAAGCCACCTTGGTGAGCAGGAAGTCCAGCCTCCAACGGGTTCGGGGACCTATTCATCTTCTGCAACTACCGTTCTTACTTTCCTGTTACTGGTGACTTCGAGGAACAAGCGCTTCTGGAAGGAAGATGTCCTCGACCTGACCGACGAACAAGAGAAAAGCAAGTACGAATTTCCCCCATGCTTCCATAAGAAGGATTTCTTCTAAGGCTCCTCCCTTGCACACCATCGGGCAGAGTGTTTGACGCTAGTGGAGCTCGATCGTCAGGGCAAGAGGACACTTCTAGCATATTACGACGCACTTTGCAGTTAGTTCAGTTAGACATAGAAAGTCGCGATCAATATGTTGCGTGGTGATTTGATCAGTAGGATTGACGCACTTTGTATGCTTGTTATGTATGTATTTTGTGATGGGAATGGATCCGTGGGATCGGTACGCCTTGTGCGTCGTGTATATATATATATATATATATATATATATATATATATATATATATATATATATATATATATATATATATATATATATATATATATATATATATATATATATATATATATATATATATATATATATATATATATATATATATATATATATATATATATATATATATATATATATATATATATATATATATATATATATATATATAGTGTGTGTGTGTGTGAGGGGTGGATCAATAGCATCGGTTTGCACTTGGTGTGCTAGATGTATGATGTGTGTGAATATGGTTGTGTGCTCCCTGTGAGGAGGGTGATGGCCAGGTGTCCATCAGTATTGTTGTGGTGCTCCCATTGTGGAGGGTTGATGGCCAGTTTCCCATCAGTGTGGTGTGCTCCCTGAGTGGGGGGTTGATGGCCAGTTGCCCATCGTTGATGTGTGCTCCTTTGTGGAGGGTTGATGGCCTGGTGCCCATCGTTGTTGTGAGTCGGTACCGCATATTGTTGAGTCAAGTGCATGTGTTGCATTGTAGTTTGTGTGAATTGTGGATATTGATGATGGGGCAGTAGGCCCGGATGTGTTGCATTTGTGGTATGCATAGTGTGTTGGCATGGGACAGTAGGTCCAGATATGTTGGATGTGAATTAATGATTTATTGTTTCTGCCTTTCATTTCATGTACCATTATACCATTATTATTTGATTGTGATTCTCACCTCTTTGCTGTTGTTGTGGTCTGTGCTTCTTCGGAAGTATAGACAATCCAGGTGTTAGCTAGTTGGATTGTGGTGTCTCTGTAGGACTGCTCTGATACGTAACACCGGGGCGTTTTTGGGAGTATTATTGTGTATTTTTTATATGTGTGCCCCCGTGGCGAATCTGATATTTTGTGAGATGTTTGATGTTGATCGGTGATGATGTTATGTATTTTGGGGTAGATGGCCGTTATTGTATATATGATGATGATGATGGATATGGATGATGTATGTATATGATATTTTGTGTTATGGCAGACCATATCTTTTTTCACTGCAATTTTATTGAAAAATTCAGTTAAATTATTTGGAAAAATATTTGTGGAAATTTTGATGTGTATTGTGGCATCCCGTTTGGGAGAGAAACTCTGATATGTGCTTTATTTGATTGTTTTATTTTATTTTGGGAACGGGGTGTTACACCCTGCATATGTCTTCCCTAAGATCTCTCATGCTTGCTTTGACGATTCACAATCACCAACTTTCTCAAAGTTGTCACCTTTGCCTTGTCATCCCCTGCATAGGCCTTCCCTAAGATCTCCCACGTTTGCTTTGATGATCCACAATCACTAACTTTCTCAAAGTTGTCACCTTTGCCTTGTCATCCCCTGCATAGGCCTTCCCTAAGATCTCCCACGTTTGCTTTGATGATCCACAATCACCAACTTTCTCAAAGTTGTCACCATTAACACATTGATGGATCAAAAATTGTGCCTTGAAATCTTTCTTCTTCTCTTCCTTATGCGTTGTGCGATGTACAACCGTTGCACCTTGGACAAGAGGATTCACTCCGTTCTTGATCACTTCAAGAACATCTTGGTAGCCAAACAACACCTTCATTTGCTTGCACCATTTGTCATAATTCTTCGAATCAAGGATACGTAGGTTTGTAGAGATTCTTTCATTAAAAACAGAATTCATGTTGAACATTAAGTGTTTATGGATCAGATCCAGGTTCTTAATGCCAAATGTTGGGACTTTGAACCACAAGATTGGTGAACAATGGTGGAAAAAATTAGAATGTGGAGAATGAAAATGGAAAATTGTGTGTGTGTGTGTGTGTGTGTGTGTGTGTGAGAGAGAGAGAGAGAGAGAGAGAGAGAGAGAGAGAGAAAAGTGAATATTGCATTAACCTTGAATGAAAAAGCATTCAACACATTTATACAAGCATTATAATATGATTGAGATTTAAAACAAACAGTTACATAATAGAAAAAGTGCAAAATTCAAACTTCTAACCAATTACCAGTCACAATGAATTAAATCACATTCAATGGTAATCGGTTAACGCCACATGTTAACCAGTTACGACTGTCTTTTCTGCTACTTCAAAAGTACTACTGACTTTACTGTAACCGATTACTCTCCCCTATTAATCGATTACAACACTTGAATTACCAACAAAATTTTTAACAAAGCTATCCCAGCCACTATCAATCAAGAGATTCTCTAGGAAACTTTCAAAATGCACATGGGATTATCCATTTTGTAATATAGTGACTAGTAAGTTCTGTAAAAACCAGATTACAAATATAAAGCCCTTAACGTACTACTACTTAATTGCTTTGAAATGTTGGTAGGAAACTTGGATATTTAATATTTTGTATGGTATTGATTTGATTAAATGGTCACCAAGTGAATGTATAAATAAGTGTCTATCAAAAGATGCCAAAACTCAATGAATTTTAAGTATCCTCTTATACTCTAGTCTAGAGACTGAACTTGCAGAGATGAGATCAAGAGAATTCAGACTTATTTCTGAATGTATTTGCATGCAGTGATGCTTACTCTTACTCATTAGATTTATCAATCGCGGGGTTGTCTTCCTTACTGAGAGTAAAAGCTTCTTTGTCATTTGTCGATGAAACACGACCAATTGTTGCTTCACACTAGCATACACAAACATCAACAGGCTTATAACTCGAGGTTCGAACAGAACACAGAACATATCAACAAAAGTATAAATTCTCAGAGTAGCAAACATACCTGGATAGACATTGGATTTTCCGAGTTACAGTCATTGATGTTTTGCATAACTTGCGAGTTCACATTGGGCATTGGAAAAGAAAACATTGGAGCGCCCGGCATTGGAATGTGGAGTCCATGGCCAGGAAGTCCGAGCATTTGAGGATTTGATCTTGCTCCTACCCACGTTTGCATGGCAAAACCCATGGGAGAAAAGGGAGACATATGCATCTGCTGCATTCCCGCCGGTAACATCATCGGCATGTATAAATCACCGCCTCTCATTGACATAATCTGCATAACAAGATAAGAAACAAGGATATGCATATAATGTGAAATATCAAAATTCAAAGGATTGAAAGGAAGATATAAAAGGGAAGAGAAAGAATACTCGCAGTTGTAGTTGAAGTGTTTTAAGATACTCTATCGCGTCATCCAGCATTGAAGCTTTATCCACCTAAGACATATTAAGCAGAAAAACAAAATATATTTAAGATATTTACTTCTTAAATTTATCAGAAAAAAAAAATACCAACCTTATTGCAATTCGGTATGAGTTCTTGCAATGTACGCATCTTCTCATTGATCGTGTCTCTTCGCTTCTGCATGAGTGAATACCAGAAGTTTATAATCAGATAAATCAGAAACACCATTGCTAACAATACACTTAAGACAGAAAATTTGTTGTCTGTACTTTCTTTTAATGTAAGATGATCTTACTCTTACTCACCTTTTGAGATAGATTGTGCACTTCAGCCAAACGATTTCTCTTCGAGCCAAAATCTCCTCGTCCATAAGCCGTCCTTTTAATACCAACCGATTCATCCTCAACGTCCTACACGTTAACGAAAAATTGCTTGTACTTATATAAGTGATAAGATATTTAAGAAATAGGACAATGAAATTCTAAGATTTTTACTTCACTGTGGCTGTGCCAATCGAAATCCTCAGAGTATATATTTTTTCCCTTCAAATTTTGATTTGGGACATCTGAACTTCTATACGCGCCGTTGTCCGAGCTAACAGAAGAAGAGACTTCTGCTGGTTTTGTACATTTTTCGACATCTTCTTGACCATTTCTACCACTTTCACCAAGAACTTGATTCAAAGTTCGATCAACCTTGGACACATCTTTGCAAGCAGGCGAAGAAACATCCGCATCCTGAGATTCCGGCTCCAAATATTTCAAATCAGCCCTATTGTTCTTTACTCCCACACTTTCTGATTTTGAAGAACACAAACCAATTTTCTGAAGATTAGCCTTCCCAATAGCAACAGGTTTTGCAAAATGGCTGAAATTCAATATGGTTGAGGAAGATGGAAGAGTATGAGAATTGTTTATCTCTTTATGATCAACTTTTTGTTCAGACATACGGTAAAACTCATGCAGAGGCATCATGAATAATAAGGAAAACAAGCTTGTAAAACATAGAAACTTAAGAAACTGTTATTGCTTCCAACCTAAATACTATGTTGACAGTGATTGCATCAAACAAGGTATGTAGACACAAAAACCTGACACAAGCCCCACTACTAGTACACTATGAGACAAACCAATCTCTATTTAAGAACTAATAATTGACAACAAAAATAAGATAGAAAGAATCTCTTTTTAGTGATCAAGTTCCTTAAGATATGATTGATAACTTAATCAATTGAATTAACAATAATGAATATAAGGAACTCTATCAAAAATTGTCAAATTTTAACAATGCATGATTCTTAAAAAAGTAATTAAATTTGTTGATTTTAATGACAAAATTAATATAATTTATTATAATGTTCTTATTAATTATAGTTAGTAGAGTTGTTGAATAGAATGAGTTAATAAATAAAAGTATATTGATATTGTAAAGGAAATTATTGGAGGGAGTAGTTTCAATGAAGTTAAATTTTTATAATAAGTTTAATTCATTTTTTTAGGAATTGTTTAATTCTTCTTTATATAATAGGTTGCTAATGTCATAGATGTCACTCTTTAGAAACTTTAATCATGTTCTACCTTCAAACGTATTTAAATTTTTTTTAATAGGATTAAATATCTCATATTTTATTTTTAATTTTTTTAAAAAAATTTAAAGAATCATTCTCTTAAAAAAATTTATTCATATTTTTTATCTCTCTTATTAAAATTGTCGTTAATTCAATCGTTAAATAGTAAACTATCGCTAAAATTGTCGTTAATTCTATAACTAAATTGTAAAAATCGTTGTTAAGTTGTATGAAAAATAAAAAATATAGATGAAAAATTTTAAGAGTATGATTTTTTTTATAAATTGAGGAGTACAAACATACATCCTCACGCTAAAATATTATTAAGTTTGATATATAGATATAAATGATAGGTGATACAATGGATACAATCTTATACTATATTATTGTTTTTGATAGATGAGTGAAAAATATAAACAATTAATGTATAAATATTGTTGGTAACTTAGTAAATTGATTATAGTTCAAATGAAAATGATGATTTATTTTTTCATTGGATACTTATTTTTTCATTGGATACTTATTTTTTTAAGCCAGTTGTGAGCCAAACTTACTAGTATATTCTAAATATAAAGCATCCCTTAAAAAAAAAGGATGAAATCAACTTTGGCTGGAAAGTAATTATAGGGATAATCGTAAAACTTTGTTTTATAAATTATATGTTTTTAACAAGGACGTTAATTTTTTATGATGACAACTAAAGTATTATGATAAATCAAGTATGAACGATTAAGTGAATAAACATGCAAACCTTATCATTAGAATTTGATGAACTTGACTATTTGATGATGACAAACAAAGAAAGCAACTCAAGCCTCATCTCAAGTTGATCAAGCATGTGTTAACATAAATAGAAGTATCTGACAAAGTCTTGAAGCAATATGGTGATTTTTAAATTTAGTAATGAGTGAACGATTGTAAGACAAAAGCAGTTTATTATAAAAGAACAAGGCTAAAGTGCGCGCGCACACATTCACACAAAAAAAATCTATTTTCAAAATGGTTTAGAATAAAATATTTTGACAAACACTTGGAAGTGTTTTAGATGAATTTGAAGCATTCAAAATAGCTATAGCCGATTTTTTGACTTTTCTAATCAATTAGAACATTTATTTAATCGCTTAGAAATGCGCAAACTTAAGGCCTAAGTTATTTTGAAAGCGCCTTGATTTTATGCAACGACTAGATGTCTTAACCTTTCTTTTTTTAGAACATTTAAACGATTAATTTATGCTTCTAATCGATTAGGATTAGGTGTTAATAAATTAGGTTGTTACAAAATACTTTTATTGGAATTTCTTTTTTGAGACAACCTCGGGTCTATAAATAAAGGTTTCATTTTTCATTTTAAACCATCCATAATCATGTTTTGACACACACACACACGCGCGCGCGCGCACTCTCTTTCTCTCTCTCTCTCTCTCTCTCTCTCTCTCTCTCTCTCTCTCTCTCTCTCTCTCTCTCTCTCTCTCTCTCTCTCTCTCTCTCTCTCTCTCTCTCTCTCTCTCTCTCTCTCTCTCTCACGCGTGCGCGCACACACACACACACATAATATTTCTTTAACTTTCTCTCACTATGTCTTTAGCCTATGTAATTTTTGTGAAAAAAGTCCTTTTAGTGAGATTATTTTTGTAATTCTAGAAATGGTAGAATTGTAAATTCACAAAGGAAATCTTTTGTATACAACTTGGTTGAAAATTATCCATTTAGGGATTTGTTTAGATTAAAAGCTAAACCCGTAAAAAGCTTTTGTTTGAGATTGTGTGATTCAATCCTAGTTTAGGTTGGAGATCAGCCCGTGATAAAATCTCATAGGTTCTAGGTCATCCCGATGTTAAAACCAATATGGGTTAGAGCTCAACCCTGTATTTAAAGCTTCACGGGTTCGAGATCATTCCAATGTTAAAATCTCATAGGTTTTTGGTTATCCCGTGTAAAACTAAGGTATGAAGCTCAAAGGTTTTGGAACTTGAAGACTAACCACTCAAAGGTCTGTGTGTGTGGAAAGAAAACTAAGTACTTCAATCCACTATTGGGAAGGAAGATTGGCTACTTCACTCTCAAGCTTATTTTGCAGAAAAGACGCAAAACAACCATATCTATCTTCGTGTATTTCTTGGTTGAAGATCAACCACCATTCCTTACATAAGGGGTTCGTGATCCTTTCCTACTAAAAGCTCTCAATATTTTAATGGAAAATCTCAAGATCAATTCTTGGGGACAAAACTAAGTCGATTTTGATTGAAAATAGAATTATGTTCCTCTTGATACAATTGTCGAACGTGATGTTTCAACAACAGGTTCAACAAGTTAAACCAAAAACACCACAATAGAAAATACTAGATGATGGAGTAGAAAAGCAATAAATAATACGATATTTGTTTACTCAGTTTGATGCAAACCACACCTACATTTGGGAGGTTGAGTCCATAACCCAAGAAAGGAAATTCAATATTAGTAGCTTAATACAATTATATTACAGGTAACAACAATCTTTATGTTGTTCAATGCCTCTTCCTAACACTGCCCAATGTATCTCTATTTAGAGTCTCCCCCTAAATATGAGAACCTACTCACTTTCTTCTCAATCACACAGCTTGTGATTGAAGATTATAACTCATTAATCAATGTTGAATACTACCACTCAACTTTAGACAAACCTTCAAAGTTACTAAAATATAAAGGTGTACATACAATAATAATAATGACTCAAAAATAAACTCTAGCACTCTAAATCTTCAATATATATATATATATATATATATATATATATATATATATATATATATATATATATATATATATATATATATATATATATATATATATATATATATATATATATATATATATATATATATATATATATATATATATATATATATATATATATATATATATATATATATATATATATATATATATATATATATATATATTGGCTTCCAATGTAGGTTTTGAGTTCCTTATGTAGCAAAATAATTTGGGCTTTTCATAATGGATTTAAGATTAAATTTTGTACATAATTAATGCAGAGTCTGTTGGATATTATTTGTTCCACAAATATCTCAACAATATATTATTTGTTTCAATTTAAATTCAAATTTAAATCTTCATTTAAATTTGAGTCAATCTTTGTCTAATTGTCAAACAAATCACCTAATCATATTGTTAAGCCAATTAGCAATAAAATAGAACTGAATATTCTCAAAATTCACTCAAAAAGCAAAAATTTGGCGCCTGTTGAGCAGGGCCCATATGTTGTACTAACATGTTGGAGTATCGCGCCCAACATATGTCCTTTTTATAGGTTACGCAAGATAAATCAATCTTGAACACTTTGGCACTTCTCCATGTTTTTTTTCCCACTAAATGTAGCCAATCCAATAGGAACTAAAATCTCCCCTTTGGAAAATTGTGGCAAAACAACTTTTTAAGATGAATAACATTTCTTCCCTTAGAACAAGTAACAACCAGTAGAATTACTGCACTATCAGAGCATACAATCAGCATCAACAACCATTTTCCAATTATCAGAGTTAAGCTCAACAACAGAAAATAAATAGCATCAACATTCAGACGCTTACACATAATCCATTCAGTTGCTACAAACCAAACGGATAACCATACAATAATTCACAAACTTAGTCATGTGTGAATCTAGTTAGCCCATAGTTAGTAACATACACTCCTACTAACTAACATATATCAGCATGCAATCATTTACATACTTAGTCATGTACACACAAGTATTTAATAGTTAATATCAGAATATGCAAGGAATACTACTAACATATATCTGTTTTCACTGATCGAAGGGCCTGATGTCTTGCCCGATGCTCCAGAATTAAGTACCATATTAGCACTTACTAGAAGGTCAGTACTAAACAAAAACTTGTGTTACCTCAACACTTAGTAACACTAATATTCCCCCCATTTTGCCATTATTTGGCAAAGGGTTAGTATCAATTAGCACCTAAACGTCAGTCATGCATAGGCTAGTATGTTAGTATATGCAAAACCAAAAATATGAGTAGAATAACCAAAATAACAACAAGAGATGCACAAGCATTAACTCTAATTTATTGTACATAAGTTCAAATAGGCAAAGAACCTTTAGAAATCCAAAAACAACAAAAACAACAGCCCAAATACAAGGGCTAGAATATCTGATTCAATCCGCCATGTTCTCCCTCAAACGAAAGCTCTTTCACCCATATACACTTGTACCACCATTGACACTCTTTAATGGGACACCTCTTACCACCATTTGTATGGTGTACTTTCAATACAAGGAATTTGATCCCTCACTCGAACCAGACTCTAATACCACTATTAGGTCATCAATTTGGGGGTTTAACATGAGGGGGCATCAATATTTATTAAGGTTTTTTCTTTATAAGCAAC